CTAGCTATCGAGACACGTCTGTGCTAGAGTTCAAACTCGCGACTTTTCGTTTCAGCAATCTAGTCGGTTCGCGCCGTCTAATCTAAAAGTTGCGTATTAGATGTAGTAAATCGCCAATCAACCAAACGGTCGCTCAGACATCAGTGAAAAATTAATTTGCGCAATTTTAGACGATGTAGATGTCTGGTGAGAAACACAGATCTAGATGTTGGTAAATGGGATCATTTCTTGATGTTTAGAGAAACACAGATCTAGATGTTGGTAAATGGGATCATTTCTTTTTGTTGTCCGCCAGCCATTAAAACCGACGAAGACAGAAGGGAGACATCAAGGAGTAGGATGGGAGCAAGAGAGGAATCTATTTCAAGATATAGAAATACAGAGAGTGGGAGAGAAATCTATTTCAAGATATAGAAAGAGAGAGAGAAAAATATAGATATAGAAATAGAGAAGGGGGGAGAGATATATTTCAAGATATAAAAATAGAGAGAAAAAAATATATAGAAATAAAGAAGGGGGGAGAGATATATATTTCATGATATACAAATAGAGAGAATGAGAGAGAAATATATTTCAAGATATAGTAATAGAGCAAAAGAGAAATATATTTTAAGATATAGAAATAGAGAGAGAAAAAATATAGATATAGAAATAGAGAAAAGAGGGGAAAAAAATAAATGAAAATAGTGATAGGGTTGGGGTGAGAGAAAATGTAAAATATTTGTGCAAGAGAGTATGCGTAAAATTTTTATTCGTACTTATGCTTTGTAACATTTTTACTTTCTCGTATATACGAAGTATAGAGAAAATATCGTAATCGTGCACAAAAATCACTTGAAATTTTAACAATTTTTACCGTATTACACCTCAGTCCTTCATCACATCCGAAGTATAGAGGACTTAATTTAATCGTGCAAAAATTATCAATCCAGATTTATCAAAATTAAGAGGTTTTATGCCTAATCCGGTCTGAAAAACTGGGCTTTGCAATTCTGTCCGTATGTCTGTGTGTCTGTCTGTCTGTCTGTATGTACGTGTGTAAACACGATTACTTGAGTACCGTTACAGCTAGGTTGATGAAATTTCATATATAATTATTTTATCAAAATCGTAGATCCGTATCAACTTTTGAGCGATTGCCGATAACCGAAAGTGGTACTTTTCCTTCTTTGAATTTTTCAAAAGCCTATAACTTGAGTACTATTTCAGATAGATAAATGAAATTTCACATGTAAGTAAAAGATCTATATTCTCTACCTTCTGTTAAATATTGAGTAATTTCCGTTGACCGGAAGTAGTAATTTACGCTACTTCCGATTTCTCAAAAAACTAATGTAAATTTTTAAAGTACTAATAATATTGCGCACTATTATTCACTTTTTTACTTTCTCGTATATACGAAGTATAGAGAAAGTCTTGTAATCGTGCAAAAAAAAATCGAGATTTTTACAAATCTCGACGTTTCACACCTCACTGATACGGAAAAACATAATTTTGCAATCTTGTCTGTATGTCTGTGTGTCTGTCTGTGTGTCTGTCTGTGTGTCTGTCTGTCTGTCCTTGTGTAAACACGATAACTTGAGTACCGTTACAGCTAGGTTGATGAAATTTCATATATAAGTATTTAATCAAAATCGTAGATCCGTATCAACTTTTGAGCGATTTCCGATAACCGGAAGTGGTACTTTTCCTACTTTGAATTTTTCAAAAGCCTATAACTTGAGTACTATTTCAGATAGATAAATGAAATTTCATACGTAAGTAAAAGATCTAATTCTCTACCTTCCGTTAAATTTTGAGTCATTTCCGTTGACTGGAAGTAGTACTTTACGCTACTTCCGATTTCTCAAAAAACTAATGTAAATTTTAAAAGTAATAATAATATTGCGCACTATTATGCGCTTTTTTATTTGGCGTTCACTTGGTGTGCAATTAATTTGTCTACGAGATTTTATTCTATTTTTAAAACTTTAAGTATTTAAAATGGATTAAAAATCATGTCTATAGCCCGAGTTCCCATCCCCTGTTATTTTATATAAGAATATTCGAGAAAGTTTAGGGGAGATCACTCCCGGTTTATTTTATTTGGCGTTCACTTGGTGTGCAGTTCTTTTGTCTACGAGATTTCATTCTATTTTTAAAACTTTAAGTATTTAAAATGGATTAAAAATCATGTTTATAGCCCGAGTTCCCATCCCCTGTTGTTTTATATAAGAATATTTGAGAAAGTTTAGGGGAGATCACTCCCGGTTTATTTAAAGATGTAAACGCAAATGACATCTATTTACATTGTAAATAGATGTCATTTGCGTTTGTTAAATGCGATAGATTAAATTTAAAATCTAACTCGCCATAAACTTACAAAAAACTCACGTGAACCACTTGAACACTACCAGGAACTGAGACTGTCAGACGGTTTAGCTATGGATAATTATAAATTAGAATTAATGGTGGCCTCGGATGTTCTAAAATCTGGAGCTTCAGACATTCATTTAGGTCTACATATGTTAGAGTGGACAGACTTACAACGGCGGTCATGATTTGTTGTAGTTGTTCCGTTCTCTTGGCTCGTGAACTCCAAGACGTGTACAAAGTTTGATTTTGTTTTACAAAGGTTAACCCAAATGTGTAAACAACTGTTCTACCTGGACATTTACAACGGTTAAAACAAATGTGTAATCAACCGTTCTGCCGTATGATAATTACAAAGGTTAAAATAAATGTTTAATCAACAATTCGGATAGTTCATACATAAAAAAACAATGTCTACTAAAGTGTTAAGATACTTTTAAAAAAAAACAATTATCCATTACATAGACTACTCGCAAATATAAATTATCTCAGTTGAAAATTTCAAAAGTGCACTATGGTTGCCAATTAATATTTAATGTTAGTATAATGACATAGCAAATATTGCGAGACATTAAATCATTGTATCCTACCTCCAAATCGGTTGATCGAACATTCGTCCCAATAACAGCAAAAACTGCACCTGATCATTTTTTTGCCACTATAGATACAGCTATGACTGGCACTAAGTTCTTTTCTGATGCAATTGTTTAAATCTTCACAGGAGGTAGATAATGACAAACCTTCAGCTTTTAACACAATTTCCGAATGGCACATGTTCTAAAGTCGTTTCATAAAAAATATGATTATTATAATTAGAAATAACTGATCGCGTAGTGCAGACTATTTCTGTACCAGAACTGAATAAATTTTGAAAAACCTACAATAAATTACTTAACATTTTAAATTTATGTTTGTAGAAATTGGTCTTGCTTTACATCCTATGATCAGAATCAGAATCAGAAGGTTGACGCAATAAATTTTTCTACAAGCATATTACGTTAAGTTACATCCTGCACCTTTGTTCTCTCACAATGTACCACACTTGATTGTACGCAGGCGTGGCTTGTGTCCGCATGCTCGCATGAGCTGCAGGTGGAACTTTGATCATACAGGTCGTCAGCTGTGTCTTGAGAACATAGAAAGATATTGTCAATTTATAAATATATTTAAACACGTAAATAAACAATTATTCCGTATATATCTATATGAATACCCATACCTACTTCTATATCTATATCCCCATCCCTATCCACTTCCATATCTATATCCCGATCTACATCCACTTCCATATCTATATTCCCATTTATATCTACGGGCGCAGTGAGTTGAAGGCACATCTAGCCTTGTTGATACGGCATTTTATGTCCTCGTCTGCTCCCCCGTCCTTATTGATCACGCTTCCCACATATGTGCATGTGTTTGTTTCTCGTAAATCTTCTCTATTTAGCTGTATGGGCAGGTCCTGGCTGTTATTGATTCTGATGACCTCTGTTTTGTTTTTATTGATTTTTAGTCCCACTTTTGAGGCTTCGTCAGATAGCCGATTTAGCTTGGCTTGCGTATGTTGATGCTTATGAGATAGTAGGCAGATGTCATCGGCAAAATCAAGATCCTCCAACCTTTTCGTGAAACTCCACTGGATTCCTGTGTCGTTTTTTGTGGCCCTCAGCATGATCCAGTCGATTACCATCAAGAATATCATTGGCGATAGCATACATCCCTGTCTTACTCCCGTCGTCACCGTGAATGGTTTTGTTAGCTTTCCCTTGTGTATTACCTAACTGGTGGAGTCTTCATATAGTTTCTGTGTGATAGATATAAATTTTTTGGGTATTCCATAGTGGCTCATTAACTTCCAGATAGCATCTCTATTCACATTGTCAAACGCCTTTTCGAAGTCGACAAAAGTCATGCATAAGGGGAATTGCCACTCAAGGGACTGTACTATAATGATGCGCAGCGTGGCGATGTGGTCAGTACATGACCTGTCCTGACGAAAACCAGCCTGTTCTTGTCTCAGCTTTTTGTCCAAGGCATCTCTAAGTCTCTCTAGGATGATTCTTGTCAGCACCTTACTTGGAACTGAAAGAAGCATTATCCCTCTCCAGTTGTTGCATTGTGTCAGATCTCCCTTCTTTGGCAGTTTTATCAGGTATCCCAGCTTCCAGTCAGATGGGATTATCTCTTCTTCCCAAATCTGCTTAAGTAGAGGATGTAGTATGTCTGCTGATATGGCTGGGTCTGCCTTGAGTGCCTCTGGTGGGATGCCGTCCGGGCCAGCTGCTTTGCCATTTTTCATGTTTTTTATTGCTCTTATTGTTTCTAACTTTGTGGATGGATCTGTACACACATCTAGTAGGTGATTTGCAGTTGGTATAGCGGGGATGTTTAATGAGAGAGGCTGGTTTAAAATCTCATCAAAGTGCTGTACCCATATGTCTCTCTGTTCTGTGTCACTTGTTAAGATATTTCCTACTTTATCCTTTACTGGTTTGTTGGGATTAATGTTCTTGCCTGATAGTGTCCTGGTTACTTCATAGAGCCTCTTCATTTTTCCTTGTCGTGCCGCAGTTTCTGCGTCCTCTATCATCTCCTGTATGAACTGTCTTTTGTCTTCTTTTGCACTTTTCCTGACCATGCGATTTACTTCACAATAATGTGTTCTGAGGTTTATTCTCTTTTTCATCCTTACATTTGCTAATCTTCTGCTTTATCTCTTTTCTATATTCAATTTTGGCCCATGTCTCTGTTGTGATCCATTCTTTTGGTTCATTTTTTCTTCTCCCCAATATGTCAGTGCATGTTGACTTCCATAGTTCCTGTATTCCTAGCCATTTTTGCTCTACTGTTTCCTCTTCCAGGTTGGAGAGTGCTTCATACCCTTTTTTTACTGCGCAGTTAAAGTCTTCCTTTATTTTTGGACACCTAAGATATGTTGTATTGAATTTAAAGTGCGGTTTATCAGCTCGATCCCTGTAGGATTTTAGTTTTAATTTTAGTATTGCAACCACGAGTTGGTGGTCTGAGGCTGCATCTGCACCTCGTTTCGCCCTAACATCCATTAAACTTCTTCTCCACTTTCTGGAAACTGTGATGTGATCAATTTGGTTCTTTGTTTTGCCTTCGGGTGACGTCCAGGTGGTCTTTTGTATATCTTTATGAGAGAAAATTGCCCCCCCTCCTATAATTAGATCATTAAATGCGCAGAAATCAGCAAAGAGTTCCTCGTTTTCATTTATTGTGCCTATTCCATTTTTCCCCATTGTGAGCTCCCGTTCTTTATTTTCTTTTCCAACTTTAGCATTCATGTCTCCCATTACTATCTTTATATCTCTTTTTGGTGATTTGTCAATTTGAGCCTGCAGGGCGCTGTAGAAGTCCTCTTTCTCTTCATCTGTTGCAGCATTTGTGGGTGCATAGCACTGGATTAAAGTTGTTTTCCTTCCCTTGGCATTGAAACGAGCTGCTATGAGTCGTGGCGAGACTGGTTCCCATGCAATCAAAGCATTTGTTGCTTCTGGAGACATCATTATGGCTACACCTTGCGTGTGTTCATGATCTTCGTCCTCGTGACCTGAGTAGATGACAGTCTCTCCCGAGACCAACCTAGTTTGGCCACTGCCGTTCCATCGTGTCTCACTTAATCCTAGGACTTTTAATTTATACCTTCTCATTTCTTTGGCGACCTGGGCTGATCTGCTCCTTTCCTATAGGGTTCTGATGTTCCAGGTCCCTAATCTGGTTTTGGTCTTGGGCGTTAGGAGATTTGTAAGCAAACTAGCTTCCGTTAGGCTTTCACTAGTAGGCATCATGGGTTCTTCTAGAGAGGACCCCCCTTGACCAAGTCGGTGTTGGATTTGTGTATTTGCAGTTTCTGTAGCGGGATATTTTTTTTACGAGATAAGGTTGCTAGCCTTATGTTTCAACCCCCAACCTGGAGAACCAGGGTGTTAGCTTTGGTCTGATCCCTACCCTAGCAGACCTTCCGAGCTGGGTAGAACCTACCAGGAGTGTACCGTCATTATTGCAGCATATAATGTTAGTTGAACCGTCATTTTTGTAGTATAATATAATGTTAGCTGTACCGTCATTATTGCAGCATATAATGTTAGCTGTACCGTCATTATTGTAGCATATAATGTTAGCTGTACCGCCATTATTGTAGCATATAATGTAGTAGTTATAATGTTAACTGTACCGGCACATGGTCCAAATTTGGCCTGATCCAAAGGTAAATGAAGCCCCATAGCCGTCTCACATTCTACTGTCGATAAAACCGAACTATAACCTTCTGAACTTGTCACCTTTTTTAAGCTCTCCCGTATCGACATAAGTTCACAATTACATTTCAAGTTGTTATAGTCGAAAACTCTGAAATAAAAATTAGGGACATACATATACAGTGATAAAAGGTTTTTCTACATTTTAGTTCTGTAAAATTTTAAAGATTAGTTAACCGTTGGAGAAATTTAACTCACCTTTGAGATGTAATGTCGCCTACATCTATTTACGCGATCTCATTTGAAATATATAACCCACGAAGATAGCTTACTTACATTCCAACTTTTCGGGATGCCAGTGTTAAAAATGCGTATTTGTCCATTTCTTTTACGCTGTTGAAGCTTATATCTCTGTTGAGTTAAAATTAACAATTTAGTTTTGGTTAAATTAGTTAAGATAAATCAAAGACTTTGGCCATGAAGATTGTTTGATCCTTAAGCTACATTTTTACTTATCTGTTTCTATGTATGGCCGTTTTGGGATTTCAATAATTTAAAAAAACAATGAAAAAAATAATTTTGAAAACATACTTCTCCTTTATTCTATTTAACTAAATTAAACGGCTAAACATATTTTTTTTTGTTTGGGTATTGCTTGAAGTGGGACCATCATATTTTCATTTCGCCACAGGATTTTATTGTTCTAATTCTCCAGTAAACGAACCTTGATTGTTACAAATATTCATTTTATTCTAAGTTTTAAAAAAATTTAAAACATGACAATAATAGCTGTTTTATAAACTGTGTACAGAATTTTAAAAGCAACGTAATATAAGAAATATTTAATTTTTTTTAAAAATATTTAAAACAACAAAATTCATATTTTGCTTACAAAGTGCGAAGCCTTGGTAAATGCTTGAAGTTAAATTTGGTGTTTGAGATCTCAGCGATTCGATTATTGTTCAAAATTCTAGTTCAAAATAATTTCATTACAAAAAAAATATTATTAGTGATACATCTTTTGTGAAATTAATAAACACTGTAAGGTTAATAAAAATACAAACAAGAAAATATTGTCAGTCACACTGGGACAATAGTTATTGTTGCCAGTTATATGTATCACTCTGGGATACAATAGTTATTGCTATAATATCTCTTGATCGGATAGGATTAATTGGGTGTTAGGGGGTCGGCGTGGTCGAGGCGGTAAAGCTCATGGTTGCTAAACCGAAAAAGTCTCGGGCAGATGAGGCTCGTTAGCTGGGGACAGCCACTCTACTAGGAGAGAAAACTCCAAAATTAAACAACTGCTGCCTTCTAGTTTGTTCTTGGTTGGACAAAGGCTATGCAAGCAAATCTAAAAAGAAAAGCAGGCTGAAATCGGAGTCAATGGCATCAATGGCGCATAACCAGTTTTCACGTAACGCTTAATTGTGTAGGAGGCGTGGTCGAGTCGGCAAAAAGCTCATGGTTGATAAATTCGAACAAAAGTCTCGAGTTCAAACCCACTGGCAGATAAATCTCGATCCCCTTCAACACTAATAATTAAGAACGAAGAAGAAGAAGCAAAGAACGTGGGTGTTCTGTTTTAGAAAACGGAATGGAGATTATCTCGTTCTTGCCAGATTTATTTGATAAACAATGCTTTAAGTGATTATAAAGTCAAATACATTTTAAAGCAATGAGCAGCCCTAGTAGCAATAGAATTTCAGTAACAGCGCTAACAATAGAAACTGTCCTGACAATTGTCATTATTTTTAAAGGACAGTGTAAGTTGATTACTGTTATAAAACACTTTTAAACTCATCTTCACTTTCAGGAGTCCCAGTCAAGTTAATACGTAATAGGAAAATAGTCTCATGTTTTTATGAAAAAGAAAATGGCTTACAATATTCGAAGGCTGAACAGGCTTTTAAAAGCCATTGGATGAACTTTGGAAATAACATTGTAAGGGATGGATCTGAAAGCATTGCATTGATTGATTTAAAAAATAAAATTATCATCAATATGACATTATGAGTAAACGAAGATATGTATGTATGTATGTGTATTATATATATATATATATATATATATATATATATATATATATATATATATATATATATATATATATATATATATATATATATATATATATATATATATATATATATATATATATATATATATATATATATATATTTATATTTTAATATATTTATATATAGAGAGAGAGAGAGATAGAGAGATTCATATATAAGTGCATCACCCCCCCCCCCCCCCAAAAAAAAAATTAGTTCTTGAACTGTGTCCGCCACTGTCTTTGAATAACGTGCACTAACAGTTTTTCAAGGTTTTCCATTCCGAGGAAATCATTTTCTTTAATTTCTGTGATTCTGTTGTAGCTGAGATCACTGTTAATATTGAGATTAAAACATATTAATGAGAAGAAAATAAGAATATCATTTCGTTAGGTATTATTTTAAAATTTACAAATTTAATAAAATTAATCAGTCTCATTCATTTTAAATCAACGTTTCTTTCAGGCATCTCTTCCGGGTGCACCCCCCCCCCCTCTGAAAAATGTCCCCCTTCCTGGCAATTTAAGTCCCCCCTCCCCAGTGTTTTAAGTTCAACCACCCCACTCACTTCCAGAGAAAATTGTTTAAAAGAAACGCTGCTTACAACTGTTATAATTTTTATTTTATAGTTTAAACAGCTTAAGACTATGCAGGCCGTAAAATGTAGATTTATTTTAATGTTTATTAAATGGACGCTCAGTACCAGATAAATTCAGCGGTTTTAGTAAAACTGTGGGTTATTTGATTCATCTAAGATGAACTAACTGTTTTTACAAGTCAAACATCGTCAACTTTGAGCTAACTTACTCAACATACCCACGTTAAACTATTAATCAAAACTATTTTCGATTAGTTTTGTCAATCTAGCGTACAAAGTGTTATATGTTTTACTTTTTGATTTCATGTCAGAATGGCTTAGACCGTGTGTTTTCGAGCTTATTTTCACGCTTGGTCGTGATTTTTAGAAAAAAAACTAATGTAGGCTATTATGTTTGTGTATCTTATAGTGAATTTGTATAAGTCTTTTGTTATTTTAATACATTTTTTAACATTGAATTTTAATTTTCTATAAAACTATAATTGATTTGGATTTATTCTTGCCATACTAAAACGAAACGAAATATTTTCTACTCACATATCTAAAGCATCAGTTGAGATATTACTCGGCACTTTAATCAGTGAGTTGGTTAGCTGGAAACAGTTGACGTGCGTCTGATTGCACGCACAATCGGCGTTACTGACGACTCCACTAGTCATAGTACAAGCCGCCCTTTCAGCGTACACGGAAATTGTGTTGGTAAAACATACAGTGATGAGTACAACAAAGGACAGGAGGTTCATGCCGAGAATAATGTTGAGTCTTTTGTTGAACTTTTCTTTGCGATTTGTTCGAGAACTAATAGTTATAAATAGAAGAGAAAAAATTAAACCATACAACATTAAACTTAACATGTATCTGGGCTCTGAATCTTATCTAATCCTAACCTAGTATCTCACACTGACTGTAATCTCAATCGAAACAACGAGACTAGGTGTGTTACTAGGGGGGGGGGGGATTTCATCATGCCGATGAATTTTATTATTTAATGAAAATCGCTGGAAAGTCTGTTTGAGATTTTGTTTTATTTCGGTCGTTAGCCTAATTGCTAACACGTAAGTCTCGAGTTCGAATTCGGGTTCAAGTCAATAGAACGCCCTGGGTCCACCCAACTCTGATGGGTACCTAACTCATGTTAGGGAGAGTAAAGGTGGCTGGGCATATTGATGACCACACTATCTCTTCATATGCCGAGGTCACAGAAAGGTCACTTCACTCGCCCTATAGACCGTCAGGTTTGAAAGGGAACTTTACTTACCTTAGCTTAATAGTAACAATGGCTGTGATGTTTTTTTTACTTGTAGGATATAAAATATAAGATATAAAAATCTCGATTCGAAATGTTTTTGTGTCTGTTTCAGTATAAAATGTAACTAACACTGCCACCATAAGACTTACTCCAACATCGAACCGTGTTCAAAACTATACATTATATCCAGATCATAACCTAACTACTTGTGTTCAAATTAAATTTTGAAAATTGTATCAAACTACTTCATTAAATACGTTTCAAGTTTTAACCTATCAATTACCAAAATACCTGGTTAAATCGAGTCTGACAAAATAACACTAATACAAACAATTTATTGGGCTTCACAACACCAGTGAATGGTGGCTAAAAAGCTTTAAACTTAATGCTTGTGGTCAACCAAACATAATCCAAATGACGTTTATTTAATCAAGAGTCAAAGTCATGCATGTAATCAAGTGGGCCTCAAATGAGGAAGTACAACATAGCAATCTGAGTTTGTGTTTTTGTAAACTCAACTTCCGTTCATTATTAAAATAGTGCTAAACAGTGTTTTAGAAAAATACGTGCTAACGTAAAAAATTACACATCAGTAGCTCGCAGTGGTGCTTAGACTTTTCAAAATCCTTCTTTGATTTTCTGTCTTCGGGTGTTTGCTTCCATTTTTTACAAAATCGTTCTACTATTTTATTTATCCTTTTCAATTTGTCCATGCCAAGAATTTTTGGATCTCCCTCTTTTTCTTTGACTGTATGGAATCAATGATATACCTTTCGTTGTAATACTTGTTTCCGATTTTTTTTTAACCGAACCCCACCCGTTTCATATGCGCATTTGACGAACCTTTAGTTCGATCGCCGGTAATGACAAAATCCGATTGTGAATCATATGAGTAGGGTGTATGTCTTGACATCCACCGAACCCCTGCGACTAAATAACCGAACCACTGAGGTTCGATCGAACCCAGGCTAAGAACCACTGCCTTTTGTTCTACCCGTCTTTACTTTCTCTATTTGTCCGATTCCCTGGGATTTAACCCTGCTCTGTCCCCTAGGGAGACTGATTTGTGATGTATTAGGTCAAACCAATTTGTATTTCATTTAAAGCCGCCGTAAGCAGTCATTTAAAAAGTGTGTACTCTGTTCCAGGACTCCATTGTTGATCGGAAACTGCTGATGTGTGTCTTATGTCAAATTAACGGTTTGATGGTTGGCCAATTTTTTTCACTTTTCGTTTATTTTATTTTTGTTTTTAACAAAACAGCATTCAAATGGGTGTAGGACAAAAGACCGACATCCAAAAGGCCGACAAGACAAAAGGCCGACATGGACAAAAGGCAGACAGCCAAACGGCCGACAGACCATAAGGCCGACAAACCATAAGTCTGACAAAGCATAAGACCGACAAGCATAAAAAATACAAAGATCGCAAAAAATGTGTTACTGCATATCTCCTATCTTGACAACCATCAAAATAAGGCATGAAATAAGGTGAAAGGTTCAAGAGAAGAGACGATGCTAGTTGCTATTCTTAAAACGTTAACAATTGGGTCCAGGCGACTTAAGATTATGAGAGTGTCTTAAACCAGTGGCGGAACTAGAATAAAAGGGCCACCCTGCAGAATTTCTTTTATACAAACACAAAATACGAACATAATATACTCATTGCTGGCCTGTTCGGGTTTTGAAAAATATATTTTTTTTTATTAAAACAAATTAAAACATCATGTAATGTGTGTAAGTCCATTAGTCTGTTTTATGAAAAGCAGTTTTATTTTATCTTTGCTTTAAGACCTCTTAACATCTAGTCGGTCAAAAGAATATAAAACATGAAAGTTTTGTATAAGTAACGAGCCGACCACAGAAAATATATGCTTTAAAACATTAAAACCCTCCTTTCCCCCCAACCCCTACCCCCTCCCTCCCCCCGTGAAAGCAGCCTCTTCTTAGTTATTTCCCCTAAGTTTAAAATCGTTTCAACCTAAGTTATATGCCACTAATAGCCTCACTAAACCCGGCTCTACAATTGTAAACATTTAGCGTGAACCACAGCTTACCAGACCATGCGGGGTTGGGGGTGGGGGTGGTAGAGATATGCCTAGAGAGGAAGAGGGGGGGGGGCTGCTAGGCGCGCTTACAGCTTGGTTTCCAAGAAGATAATTATATAATAGATGGTGTTTCGTGTTATGTTTATTTTTATGTTTTTTGTATATATATATAATTAATTTTAAATTAACAGTGGTGGTGTCTATAGAATAAAGATGATCCAACCGCATGTGTTACTGCATATCTCCTATCTTGACAACCATCAAAATAAGGCATGAAATAAGGTGAAAGATTCAAGAGAAGAGACCATACTAGTTGCTATTCTATTGCTACAGTAATCTTTTTACAAAACAATCATAAAGTCAAAAATGCAAGAAAAGTAATTTTTTTAACTATAATTTTTTTTATTAAGGTCCGGCTGTGGGCCCCTAAATGGCCCCTTAAACACAAAAGGATCAACGAATAAATATTGGGACATTTATTTATTTATTTATTTATTTATTTATTTATTTATTTATTTATTTATTTATTTATTTATTTATTTATTTATTTACTTATTTATTTATTTATTTATTTATTTATTTATTTATTTATTTATTTATTTATTTATTTATTTATTTATTTATTTATTTATTTATTTATTTATTTATTTATTTATTTATTTATTTATTTATTTATTTATTTATTTATTTATTTATTTATTTATTTATTTATTTATTTATTTATTTATTTATTTATTTATTTATTTATTTATTTATTTATTTATTTATTTATTTATTTATTTATTTATTTATTTATTTATTTATTTATTTATTTATTTATTTATTTATTCAATAACGGTAACAATAGTAAACACTGAAGCCTATTTTCACAGTGGCCGTGTTAAAATAAACAAACAAAACAAAAACGTAATAAAAGCAATTAAAAAGAAATTGCGTAATAAAGACATAGCAGTAGCATATCACTAAAAATGTGGAATACAAAATTAGATAAAATAAGAAAATAATACATGAATGAGAAATGTTGCAATGAGTCAGTTATTTTCTATATACATTCTATTTCGTTCAAGGGGGGCGGTAGTCGTTCTTCAGGGGACTACGACTATATTTAGTATCAATGTGCATTTACTACGTTTAGATCAAGGTTACTAGATAAAGTATTGTGGCAGTGTTTACATTTAGCCTCTATGAAAAATAAACTGGGAGTGATCTCCCCTACACTTTCTCGAATATTCTTATATAAAATAACAGGGGATGGGAACTCGGGCTATAGACATGATTTTTAATCCATTTTAAATACTTAAAGTTTTAAAAATAGAATAAAATCTCGTAGACAAATTAATTGCACACCAAGTGAACGCCAAATAAAAAAGCGCATAATAGTGCGCATTATTATTAGTACTTTTAAAATTTACATTAGTTTTTTGAGAAATCGGAAGTAGCGTAAATTACTACTTCCGGTCAACGGCAATTACTTAAAATTTAACAGAAGGTAGAGAATTAGATCTTTTACTTACATGTGAAATTTGATTTATCTATCTGAAATAGTACTCAAGTTATAGGCTTTTGAAAAATTCAAAGTAGGAAAAGTACCACTTCCGGTTATCGGAAATCGCTCAAAAGTTGATACGGATCTACGATTTTGATAAAATACTTATATATGAAATTTCATCAACCTAGCAGTAACGGTACTCAAGTTATCGTGTTTACACACGGACAGACAGACACACAGACAGACACACAGACAGACACACAGACATACGGACAAGATTGCAAAATTATGTTTTTCCGTATCAGTGAGGTGTAAAACGTCGAGATTTGTAAAAATCTCGATTTTTTTTTTGCACGATTACAAGACTTTCTCTATACTTCGTATATACGAGAAAGTAAAAAATAGAGTTTTGTCATTGATGGTTGAATAAAAAATAGAAGTAAATAAACCGGGAGTGATCTCCCCTAAACTTTCTCGAATATTCTTATATAAAACAACAGGGGATGAGAACTCGGGATATAGTTATGATTTTTAATCCATTTTAAATACTTAAAGTTTTAAAAATAGAATAAAATCTCGTAGACAAATTAATTGCACACCAAGTGAACGCCAAATAAAAAAGCGCATAATAGTGCGCATTATTATTAGTACTTTTAAAATTTACATTAGTTTTTTGAGAAATCGGAAGTAGCGTAAATTACTACTTCCGGTCAACGGCAATTACTTAAAATTTAACAGAAGGTAGAGAATTAGATCTTTTACTTACATGTGAAATTTCATTTATCTATCTGAAATAGTACTCAAGTTATAGGCTTTTGAAAAATTCAAAGTAGGAAAAGTACCACTTCCGGTTATCGGAAATCGCTCAAAAGTTGATACGGATCTACGATTTTGATAAAATACTTATATATGAAATTTCATCAACCTAGCAGTAACGGTACTCAAGTTATCGTGTTTACACACGGACAGACAGACACACAGACAGACACACAGACAGACACACAGACATACGGACAAGATTGCAAAATTATGTTTTTCCGTATCAGTGAGGTGTAAAACGTCGAGATTTGTAAAAATCTCGATTTTTTTTTGCACGATTACAAGACTTTCTCTATACTTCGTATATACGAGAAAGTAAAAAATAGAGTTTTGTCATTGATGGTTGAATAAAAAATAGAAGTAAATAAACCGGGAGTGATCTCCCCTAAACTTTCTCGAATATTCTTATATAAAACAACAGGGGATGAGAACTCGGGATATAGTTATGATTTTTAATCCATTTTAAATACTTAAAGTTTTAAAAATAGAATAAAATCTCGTAGACAAAAGATTGCACACCAAGTGAACGCCAAATAAAAAAGTGCATAATAGTGCGCAATATTATTAGTACTTTAAAAATTTACATTAGTTTTTTGAGAAATCGGAAGTAGCCTAAATTAGTACTTTCGGTCAACGGAAATTACTCAAAATTTGACAGAAGGTAGAAAATTAGATCTTATACTTACATGTGAAATTTCATTTATCTATCTGAAATAGTACTCAAGTTATAGGCTTTTGAAAAATTCAAAGTAGAAAAAGTACCACTTCCGGTTATCGGAAATCGCTCAAAAGTTGATACGAATCTACGATTTTGACAAAATACTGATATATGAAATTTCATCAACCTAGTTGTAACGGTACTCAAGTTATCGTGTTTACACACGGACACACACACACACAGACATACGGACAGAATTGCAAATTTAGACTGGATTACGCATAGAACCTCTTAATTTTGATAAATCTGGATTGATAATTTTTGCCCGATTAAAATAAGTCCTCTATACTTCGGATGTGATGAAGGACTGAGGTGTAATACGGTGAAAATTGTTAAAATTTCAAGTGATTTTTGTGCACGATTACAATACTTTCTCTATACTTCGTATATACGAGAAAGTAAAAACGAATGCCGGATACGATACACAATAATAATGATGTCATTGATAATAAAGACATACAAATTAAACGTCTTATTTAATTGTCTAATTTTAGAAGTGAATGTAGATACAGACAATAAGTACTGGTAAAGTAATACATACAGTAAGAGTTGGTTTCAGGATTGAGGTTACGGTTATTGGCAGTGGCGTAACTAGAAAAAAGGGCAACCCGCAAAAAAAAAATTAAAAAATCGGGTTTTGAAATATAAATGTTTTTTTAGCGCAATTTCCATTCTGGAGAATTGCGTTTATTAACCCGTCATTTCTGGATGTATGAATGTATGAATGAACGGATGGATGTGTGTCCGCAGCTTTAGGTCGTATCTCCTCCTCAACGAAGCAATATCGATGACTAGTTCCAAAGCAATTATGTTAAGCAAGTTACGAGGATGAACATAGGCTATAAAAATTCCGGGTTTCTTTCATGGATTTCCCGGAAAAGCCAAAAAACCTCGAAAAAAAAGCAGTTTTTGGCCCATATCTCGGCAACCAGACCACTTAGCGACTTGAAACATGTACCAATCGATTCCTGCCATAATTTAGAACAATATTGCCGAAGAAAGTTTTCAAAAATATCCTTTCGTTCGGTCACAAAATGTTTTTTGAATTAATTAAAATTTGGACCGAATTAATAGGCATTTTTTCCAACCACACCACACGCGTCATCACGTTCAATAGCTGCACCATCACGTTCTATGGCTTTGTTATCACGTTAAGTAGCTAGGCGCGCAATGGTTTTTAGTCATGTAACTCTATTGTAAATAAAACATATAAAATACTGAAATTTTTTTTTAATAAAAAACGTTTTAATAACTAACCAATGGTTTTACTAACCCTGCTCTTGATTTACGCTACGACAGAGCTATTTTTAGATAACATAAGGAAATTGCGCTAAAATTGTCACTAGACTTTTTAATTTACTTGTTTTCAATTTAAACAAAGTAAAAAATTTTCGGGGGGGGGGGGGCTTTGCCCCCCCGAAGAGATGCCTGGAAGAAACTCTGATGCCGAGGTCACAGAAACAAACGAACTCTAATTCTTTTGCCCCTTTGGCCAAGAGTTTCGAAAAAGGAACTAGACTTTTTTTGCTATTTTCTACCGCATGAGGCGGATAATAGATGACCAATTCAAAGAGAAAGACAATTTTGACACGAGTGGGCAGGGTCGATAGCACGTGGGGAATAATTTATAGATACAGGCCAATCAGAGATTATCTCTCTTTTTAGAATCACAAGTTTATAGCCTCGCTCGGCAGAACGGCTGTTTTATTAACCAATAAACAATAGCGGCTAAACAATTCTTCTGTCCGTTTTGTAATATTTGACTGAATCAGGCAACACTTCTAGATACCCCTAGACAACAATGGCCTTGTTGGTTGGAGATATGCGGGGACCCATTCAGTCGGCAAAAAGTAATCGCACTGCAACATAGTATTCCTTCACGCAACTATCTACAGACTCAGATGTTACAGAACATTGAATTTTTACATATTGTTATAGATGAACCCATAGTTTTCCGTGTCGTTGATGACAAATGTAGCTGTAACTATAATCAGAGAAAGACCTGGATTCACATATAGGAAATATTGTTTAAAAATCTAGAATAAATAGTGTCAATCCATGTTTTACAATTTGTTTAAACAGTAGGTTTACATGTTGTCAAATGTTTAAAATACACGGGTTAGCTGGTTGTGTAGAGAAAATGAAGTTACCCCATCCCACGAGTGAGCTCTTGAGGTAAAAACATTGAATTTCTGTATTGAAGACTTGAACCAATGCTCGATACATATAGAACGCGTTTACAGCATCCAGAATATTCAGGTAAGTAGCGCTAAGTGTTGTACCGCAGCCACCGCCTGTATTTTTGTCATTGATGGAAATATAGGTTGCACTCTGTATTTGTTAAACTATACATTGTAATAGGTACAAATTTGCATCTTAGAACAAAATTAGGAAAAACAAGTTTATTTTTTATTTTTGTAAATACACATAGTTGATTTAATAATTCTACTTAAGTTCAAATGTTAGCTGGATTATGTTAGTAAGATTTATTCTAAATGATTGATTTGCTTATTTTTGCGCTTTTATCTATTCATTTAGCAAAGGGAGAGATTCTTCAAAAGAAAAATCTGCAGGTACTGTATACATTTTATTTATAAATTTTTCAACATGTGAAAACGGGCTTATTTTGCTGCCCTATAACTTTTTCTAATTTTTCTAATCATTACTTTTAAAAATTTAAATTAAAACTTTAAATTTACTTTGTTTTTTTATACTTGTATACATAGTGTATCTGGTAAAGCTCTGTTATTTTTTTAAAAAGTTACGATAGCTTTTATAAGCGCAATTATTCGTTGCGTATTTTTCTGTTAGCCCCAAAGTCGGCAAGCTAAATATGAGCACCAGGTCGTGAATGTTTGCCAATTTTTTTCTCCTTGCCGGATTTTTCTTCTTTAGTATTTTTTTTTACGAAACAGCATGCAGAACAAAGATAATTTGAGTATAGCGTTGGTGTTAAAAATGCATAGATTTAGGTTTACCATAATAATATATTAGTTTACTTTTAAAAAAAAGTTCGATTGTACGCTCCATAAGCAGTTTTTCCTCCATCCATTCTACGGTGGTCTGAGGCACTTGGTCCAGGAACTTCCCACATTATTCTTAACACTAAATGACGATTAAGAAAATAGCCTTGTGATTTACGATGGCCCCAAAACTACAATCACAGTTTTCCTTAACAGATTAATGCACCCATGACACTTTTAAGTAAATTATTTTCTATTTCCTTCTTCTCTGCTGTTGCAACACCTTATAATATGTCTCTGCCTTTAAACAGCATGATATTCCGTATTTGTGACATTTATAGCGGTGACAGGACAAATGATCTCAGGACAAATGATCTCAGACAAAATATCTCAGACAAAATACCTCACGGACAATTGATCTCAGGACAAATGATGTCAAGACAAATGATCTCAAGGACAAATGATCTCACATACAAAAGATACCAGGATAAAATATATCAGGACAAATGATACCATGGACAAATGATATCAGACAAAATATCTCCGACAAAATATCTCACAGCAAATTTCAATAGTGTATATGATTATTTTAGTTGATCTGAACATTTTTTTATTGACTGTCATATGGTATTGTTTACTATATTTAATATTGTTTATAGGCCTATTCAATAATTGTAAGAAATGTTTGCCGCATTAATTTGCCATATTGCACTAAACAATTTAAAATTAGCATTAGTAATAAAGTATGAGAAGATAAAGGAATTTTGCGATAGACAGCGTAGGTGGGTTTGTCAAACATGAGACAATCCTACCATGTAAGTTGGACGAAACTAGATCAAAAGGAATAAAATAACAATAGACACACCTTCGTATCAAGGTGGCCGCCCGCTTTGGTGGCTGAGACATGCCTAAAGGGAAAGACATCAGCCCTCCATAATACAACTAGCATCTAAAGTCAATAAGTATGCGTCGGTCACACTTTAGTGATCAGGTGACAAATGCTTATTTAAACGACAACGGTCATCGCGGAGCCAAGTTGGTCTTAGTGTGTATGAAAACAAAGCAGTATTAGTGGTGATTACTCAGCTATGGCCTCTTGCGTTTCCCCGAAGAAAAGTTATAGGAAATTGTTTCTGGCGAATTTCTGTTAATAAAAGTGGAGCAGCAGGCAAAGAGATTTGGAAATGTGAAGTAAGAGCATGTTGAGCAAGAGTTCACACAATACATGATCACATAGGAGAGGTGTGATCATAACGATGTACCTGCCGGCATAGAAACGTAAGCGTTATGTTGGAATTGATGATGTAATAAAAACAATAGATTTACGTTAAGAACCTGAAGACCCATTCACATTTTTGAAAATATTTCGCGTGTTTTGAACAATAATATTGTATAGCTACCGTTACTTTAATTTTTTAATACATTATCATTTATTATACCTTTCAGGAGTAAGATTGTTTTAATGTTTACTTTTCAAATCGAAGACTATTACAAAGATTAAGATGCTTTGTTATGTTTAACAAATTCATTTATTCATAAAACCATAATTTACAGTCAATTAAAAAAAAGTTCAAATCAACTAAAACCTTTGTACATTCTATTAAAATTTTGCCGTGAGATATTTTGTCTAAGATTTTTGTCTGAGATCATTTGTCCATGGTATCATTTGTCCTGATATATTTTGTCCTGGTATCTTTTGTCCGTGAGATCATTTGTCCTTGAGATCATTTGTCTTGAGATCATTTGTCCGTGAGATAATTTGTCTGAGATATTTTGTCTTAGATATTTTTTCCTGAGATCATTTGTCATGGAACCTTTATAGCAATACAATTGACTGGCAGAATTCCTCGCATATTTTCTAACTTGTAGTAGCCAAATCAGCGATAAAACAAGTCGAGGTTTTTATTAATACCATGTAAATGTAACAAAGTTTTGTAAAAACAAAGTCAATAAATACATTTTTAATAACATATGTTTATTTCAATTTCAAAATTTGTAATAAACATTAAAAGAAAGTGTGATGTATATTATAATATTTTTATAGTTTTATTATAAGAATAGATCTAATTGAAAATTAACATTAAACCCTTAATTTACTTTGGTAAGAAAAACGAAAGTTAATTAATACCCGTATTAATGGTATTAAATCTTAACACATGATTTATAATTTATAATGTTAAATATAATTTAATTAATTTTACTAAAACATACACAACGATCATCCTAACAATTATAATATTGAAAATGATTATTCAGTTTTTAAAATATAACTTAAAGAAAATAAAAAAATAGTGGTGTTTGAAAACGAAAGAAGATTGAAAAAACAATTGTAAAAAATAAAGTAAGTAAACGACAGCAAATATCTCTTTTTCATTATTACCTCGTAGGCTACATACAGTATACATAATAATTATTATAATAAGCCAGTAAACTATAAAGAAATAAAATGATTCTTTATTAGAAATGAGTTACGATGTGACAATATTTTGATTCTAGTAAACCATCGCAATAAATTCAGATCAAGGTAGTAGTACCCGGTTGGTAACATTTAAAAACAAAATAACTAAAAAATACCAGCGGCTCGGCTAAATTCCTACTATCTATGATGGAGCTGCATTTACTACTTTTTAGTTAAGTGTTTTATAAAGCAAAATGTTACTTTTCAATTACATACTTTTATTTTCAAAAACATGATAAACTGCTTGCACAGTGCTCTTAATCTCGGCATTGGAACTCATCTGTGTGCTATAAATGGGTTCTATAAGCGATAATAAAAGTGTTATTTAAACAAAAATGTAATGCTAGAAATAATTCAATTTCTATAAATATTTAGGTAAACTTGACTTACAGATAATTACATCACAAGATATTTCTACACTTATTGTTTATAGTTTGTCTTTACCTTGATGCATTTGCTACCGAGTCAACACTCATAGTGATGAACACATGTTTATAAAAGATTATCACAATTATTTTGCCTATTTTTTTCTGACTACTTTCGGTTCTAGCTGTCTTGAATCTATAAGAGATAAATATTATAGACGATTAGAAAAAAGGAAAGTAGGCCCTATGTGTTGTGTTAAAATTTAAAGAAGAGTATACTTTTAAACTTGTGGCAGATAAAGTAGAGTTCGCCTGTTTCTACGACCTCTCCATTAGCAGGAAGAATGTGGACACAAACGGGTTCAACTGTCCCTCATTTATTTTGATTAAAGATACTCAATTTCTATCGCTCGTCCTTACCTTCACATTCCGGTTGTGAAAAGGGGGAAACAATAATTTATCATTGAGAAACAAAATGCTCTTGTCCTTCAGTGCAAGATGACGATGTTAAAGAAATTAACAAAGTAAATCAGTAATCACAATAAGATTTTGGTAAAAAGCTCAAGTTCAACTGAAGTTAAATGTTTCACAAATTAGATGTAGGCAGGTGTGGAGTGGTTTAGTTCAAGGGGCCCGGGAAATTTTAAAACTGGCTCACAATTTTAGATTGAAATTTTCTTTGTGCACTCAAATTGAATTTTACGCCTTGATATAAAGGAATTGGAATAGTAAAATGGAGAAATACCAACAAATTGTTTTTAAAAATCAAAACACTTTTAGGACTTATAGTTAACGGGGGTCCACCGGGAAATTCGAGTGAGGAGCCACCGGGATTTTCCCCAGAAGACCTGTGGGTCAGTCGACCAATTTTACTTTAACTTTTTCATGGTGGTTTTAAAATTACCTTGATCTGTCGATACTCTTGAAATTTCTTCAAATAAAAAATATAAATGAATAGAATTAGACTAAAAAAACATGTTGAGTTAATTTAAAAAACGTAAATTTTAATAATTCACTATATTAAGCTTTAATAAAAATAGAAACGCTCAAAAAGTATTTAATTCTTAGCTTCCTTTACTTTTCCCGACTTAACATTTGTACCAACTAGCACGATCAGTAATCTTAAGCTCGCTCAATCTTTCGACCACATCATCACATCCATTTTCAAAGGTAAAATAATAATGTAACATTGATAATGAAAAATGCGTTAACTTGTCAATGCGTTAATGTTTTTCATATTGAGAAATAAATCAATAATTTTAATAGGACTTTGAAAACATTATACGCCTGTTAAGACCCAAGAACAATGATACCTGACATTTACTTTGACTTAACGGATAAAAATAGTTTTCTTAGTGGCCGTAGAAAAATAAAGAACAGTTATGCATGATTAAAACACAAATATTAATTGGTTGTTTAGAAACTCAGTGATTGTTGTAATAGATTGAAATAATTGTGAGGTCAAGGGAACTCACTCTTCTGTATTAGTTATATTTATAATATTGTTATCTTGAGTGATGTCCCTTGAGTACTTCCTTCCGTCCTCTCTGTGTGTTACCATCGTGGTAGTTAGACCCATTAAATGTGTTATATACAACCACAGGCTTCTGTCGTCAATCTATTATAACTGGCGACGAAGGATAAACATCTACTAGAAAGAGCACCTACTTACGCAAAAAAGAGGTTTGCTAGAGCTTATTAGCTAATTATTTCTAGAATAATGGCGCTGTATGGCCAAATAAAGCAATTTGATGCGAATGATGAAATCATTCAAGATTACCTAGAGAGGTTAAGCTTTTACCTAGAAGCTAACAACGTGACGATAGAAGCCAAAAAGAGAGCTGTTTTGTTAACAGTCATAGGGCCTCAACAATTTAGGCTACTAAAAGACTTATGCGCACCAGCTAGTCTAAATACCAAGAGCTTTAACGAGCTGAGCAAATTGCTAACAGACCACCATGCGCCTACCCCATCAAAGTTTCTATGTCGAGCTAGATTTGACGGTAGGACTCGTCAACCAAACGAGTCAATATCAGAATATGTTGCTGCTTTACGTCATTTAAGTGAATTTTGTGAATTCGGCGATACGCTGTCTGACAGACTATGTGAAAAGTTTGTGACAGGGGTAAACAGCCCTGATATTCAAAGAAAGTTGCTGCTCGAGTCAGATCTAAAATTGGAAAAAGCAATACAACTTGCAATGTCATTCCAGCAGTCATCTGATGCGGCGAGATCTTTAGCACCTTCAGAGATCCATGCAGTAAACAGCAGGTTAGTCAACAAACATCAACCCCATCAGAGCATTCCA